CTCTTCTCATATAGATATCACTCCTATAGTTTCGAGTTATTTGCATTGCCTATCTCTGGATCATTTTTATTTTTGCTATAGGGTGAATAGATGAAGTTGTAGTACTGGTTTATATAATTGACATTTTAAGATTTGCATGATTATGTTCCATCCCCTCCTTTATACATCGAAACATTTTGTTTGCTTGTTTAGACTGCCACTGCTCAGTGAGCAGAGGTTTTCATTAAGCTAATCACATTTCCATCCTGGTGTGAAATCCTGAAGCTTTTGAAGTCACAGGAGTTTTGCAGTGACTTCAGTAGAGCCAAAACTTCAGCCCAGTCTTTTCTCTCTGATACTAGTTTAGAATCCTATCCAATAGTGCCTCTGAATAGGCCAAATTATTTCTTCCCGTATGTGTTCAGATGCCTGAATCAGCACTGAGTTTCATCTACTCCTGTGTCATTGTTCACGTCAGTTAGACCTCTCTCTCTGAAGTTCCTCGCAGTCTTTTCTGTACTGCACTAACCTAAGTAACTTTCTGTTACCTATAGATTTTACCACTTTATTGTTCAGCTACCTTCACAGGTCATTAATATATTAAATAAAAATGGTCCTAGTACAGAACCCCATAATGGCCCTTAACATTTTGATGGGTTAAAAATTGACCTTTTATTCCTTATCCTGTTGTCTAACTTTTAGCCAATACACCAGGTAGTGCTTTAGCTCCCAGTGCATGACTAGGTTGCTACTTTAGTAGCTTCTTGCAAGGACTTTGTCAAAAGTGTTTTGCGAATCCAGAGGCATTATAACCACTGGGTTTCCTTTCTTCACTCTCTAGGAGGAGCTGAAGTTTTCTTCCCTGGGAAGTTTTTGAAAGTACTTGCCCGTCTGTTTTATAATCTAGTGTGTTCCATAAAGAAGAGATTTAGCTCCTCTGAAGCATTTTTATGAGCCCTAGGGTAAGTTGCCTTTGGTAGGAATATGTTAGCAGAGATGGGTTGATTCCAACAAGAGCACAGAATTTTCCTTGATCATTTGAAAAAGGCAGTGACACACACTTAACAGTTTGGCCTGTTGTTCTGCCTGGTGCTCTCAAAATTCTCTAAAAGCTCATAACTGTCTAAAATACTTTTGATCAGGGGTTTTTTTCTGAGAGAAATGGATTAACTCATAAAAGCTAGTTCTCAGGCACTGCTCTGGACATGCCTGGGCAATGAGGGTCAATGATCAGTCAGTGAGAGCTTCTACTGATGTCAACCTTGACCTTTTCAAGACTCTTGTGCTTGCTTTTGCACATCTGACTACTCTCATTAACTGCATTGGGACAACATAGTCTTAAAGTGAAGCATGTGTACAAGAGTTGGCAGGATCAGGGCCTTAATAGTCTTATTAGAAAGTTTAGTGGGTGGAGTAGGTTGAGAACTAGTCTGAACCAGTGTCTTCTGGGAACAGTGTCTTTCCATTCTGATACTCTTGCAGATGAATTACTCTGCATTAATAAACACTGTTCTGCTTCCAGTTTCTTGTTATCCAGTTCAGCGTGTCTTTTTAAAACCTGCAAAATTAGATTTGTATCTGCATTGATAATTTTTTCAAAGATCCTGCACAACTGTCTGTGCATGTGTGCTACATGACATGCTTTTCATAGATTCATAGATGCTAGGGTCGGAAGGGACCTCAATAGATCATCGAGTCCGACCCCCTGCATAAGCAGGAAAGATTGCTGGGTCTAGATAACCCCAGCTAGATACTCATCTAACCTCCTCTTGAAGACTCCCAGGGTAGGGGAGAGCACCACCTCCCTTTGGGAGCCCGTTCCAGACCTTGGCCACTCTAACTGTGAAGAAGTTCTTCCTAATGTCCAATCTAAATCTGCTCTCTGCTAGCTTGTGGCCATTATTTCTTGTAACCCCTGGGGGCGCCTTGGTGAGTAAATACTCACCAATTCCCTTCTGTGCCCCCGTGATGAACTTATAGGCAGCCACAAGGTCGCCTCTCAACCTTCTCTTGCGGAGGCTGAATAGATCCAGTTTCTCTAGTCTCTCGTCGTAGGGCTTGGTCTGTAGGCCCTTAACCATACGAGTGGCCCTTCTCTGGACCCTCTCCAGGTTATCCGCATCCCTCTTGAAGTGTGGCGCCCAGAATTGCACGCAGTACTCCAACTGCGGTCTGACCAGCGCCCGATAGAGGGGAAGTATCACCTCCTTGGACCTATTCGTCATGCATCTGCTGATGCACGATAAAGTGCCATTGGCTTTTTTGATGGCTTCGTCACACTGCCGTTACATGCTTTGTGCATGTAAGTCATAGGCATTGCTATTATACACATAGCTATATAGTCCCATGCACACATCTAGATGGTCCAGCCCTCCTCCCATGAAAACAAATTATAACATACCCAGCACTAAGTGGAATAGTTTGCATTAAACCCGTGTATTTAGCAAGACACTAAAACATAATAGCTCTCTGGTCAGGGCTGCTGCCACCATTGGATTGCTTGATACTTCCCTGGCTGCAGGTGAGGGGTACACAGTCAAACAAGGCTATTAAGGAAGGATGCTGTTTATTTTGACAAGGGCAGACATGTCTGTTTCTGCAGGCAGTGATCCAGACAAAGACAGCAGTGGGCTCCCTGCAGATGCTGAGAGCTTAGCCTACCAGCATAAGCTGTCCCTACCTAGTAGATGTAATACTCCTGAACTGACCTGGAATATAGTCAGGTGTGAAATAAGAGACAAGAACAGCAGCTCAGGATGAGCATAAAAGTAGTGAAGCAAAGGGCCCTCCTCTCTGTACCCAGCAGCCCCAGCCTCTCCTTATATGTTCCAGTGTTCACCTGTTTTATCTCAGGCTGAGATATCAGATCTTTTCAGCTAGCAGCTGACAATTCTCCCAGGTCTGCTGGATGGCAGGAAATGTCCTTCCCACGCAGAGGATGATGCAGAGATCAAGATGGGGGAATCACAGTGCAGAGGAATTACGGGGAAGCAGCAGAGCATAGGGAGAAGAAGCAGGGCCACTAGGAGGATGTCTGGCTCACTGGCCATTAACATTCTGGTCTGCTCTGCCGCATTTGTGAAAACCCCTCTTCTCCCTGCCTCCCTCCTCCTTGCTCCCTCCACAGCTCTTCCTGGTCCCTCCCCCCTTCATTTGCTCTTCACCTTTCTTTCATTTTCCTGTCACCAGAACCCCCTAATTTCTGCCTTCCCCTTTTTATCCCTTAGGAGACAATATAAAGAAAACAGATTTAGGGCACTTTGTATTTGCCAATGTGCTTCTTCCCCTCTCCATAGCATTCTGCCTCCCCCTCCTTCCATTCCTCAGGGCATTCCCAGCTTGCTGCTGCCGGTGATATTTAACAGGTACCCTCATAGCTGCCTTGCAGCACTGCTGCTTCTTTTGCGTACAGTGCTAACAACAGAGGAATGGAGAGGAAATGAAGGAACAGCAGCACTGCAGGTAGGTCTGTATCTTCCAAAAAGTCCTAGTAGCCCTGAGTCATATATATTGAGTGAGGGCAGAAGGCCTCGTAGCAACAATCAATGAACATTTTGCAGTTATATTGTGCCTTTTATTTGAGGATCTCAGAGAGAGGGTGAGGAGCATTGCTGTCAGCTTGCAGATCAGTCTGAGATTCCTGGTGATTATCTTCAGTACGGATATCTCCAGACTAACTAATTATAATAATTACACTTGCTTATTATTGGTATTCTTGTACCCCCTAAGGACCTCCACTGAGATCAGGGGACTTTCATGCTGCATACTGCATAAATATGGAGTAAAGGCTTGTATACACTTAGAAGTTTTGGCACTCTAATGACAGAACAATAATTAAAGCAGCAAGTCCCTCCTTCTCTACCAGCTCAGTCTAGACTAGGGATGTGACTATTCTACACTGTCTCCCAGTTCTTTCAGTGAGGGATGCTTCTGGGCACATCCTGCTCATGTATGTCAAGCCTGGAAATGCAGCGGCAAAGCAGCTACTCTCAAGCTCATTGGGCTCCAGAGATCACAGGGAGATGCCCCCAGATCGGCTTCACTGCTCTGTAACTGGATTTGGCTCACGTGAACAGGAGCAGCTGGGTGCAGCATGCTCAAAAAACTCCTTGGGAATCCCAGGGACAAGATGTTGACATACCCTAGGAGTATATTGTCAGTAAAGAAAAGTCAGTACAGTGTACTGACAAAACACCAGCCATGCTGTGCTTTCTACTAGAATAGTAGAATCAGCCCCCAGGAGCAAAACAAGCTGTACCACTAAAAGTATGAATTTTGCATTCATCTGCATCAAGGGCTGCTGCTAGCACAGCAGTGTTGGGCAGGGGATCACACTGATCCACAGTCCTACCTGACATATGGAGAAACCTGTAGCGGAGGCAAAGCACAAGCTATGCCCAGTAAAGGGCATCTTTATACTGCATCTACACTATGGTTCTATAGGGGAAAAAATTGCACAACAAAAACAGTGATGTTGATAGAACTGTTTAAGTTGAGACAAGCCCTAAGAGAGAGGTCCTGCCCCAAAATGCTCACCATCTAATCTGACATGGATTGGGGAAGGGATGCGATGCAGGAACAGGGTGATCCTTGTTGTGGTTACAAGCATCATGTTAGAGCCATGAGGCCTGTGTGGGAGGTGTAGGGGGTTGGTTTCTTTCTGTACTAATTTTCTGGATGGAGTTTTGCTGGGAGATAATAAGCTACCTAGGTAGACAAAGGAGGGAAGGGGGCACAGAGAGCAAAGGATAAGCAAAAATGGGGAAGAAGGGGAGTTGCGAGAGCAGGTGGGATGACTGGAAGGGTGGGACAGGAGGCACCTGGATCAAATAGCTCATAAGCAGCAAGAGTAACAACTCTAATAAGTAGCTCAGCTCTGGTGATATCATCAGGGTCCAAAAGCCCTCATGGCAACTACCTGTTTCTGCTTTTGCTGACTATGTTTCTGCCAATGTATCTCTTAATTAAACACATGCAGAGTCTATAGTTTGCAATAACATATCATCTCTGATTATTTCCAGGCTGTTCTAGATCAAATGAGAAGGAAGAAAGCTGTCCCAGTTTTGTAACCTGGCAGTGGCACAAGATGCACCTGTTTGGCTGAGGGTTGTTCTGTTCTGTTAGGAGTTACGCAGGGGGATATCTTGGAAATGTCTGACTAACTGAAAGTTTGTACAGTCCTCTCCTCATCTTGGCTATGGTGAATTAATAAATACCTTGCTGTTGCAACATTAAGGACTTCTTCTGTAAGTCAGGGTGGGATTTGGGCCTCAGGGTTTAATTTCTTTAAATTAATTTAGTTCTTGATTGATCACCCTGGAGACTTGAAGGGCTCTATTTATCCTCAGAACAAGCACAGCCTGGCAGCCATAGTGCCAGCATCCTTAAACTGACTCCCCCTGTGTCCTGACCTTGCCTTGAAGACTCCTCCAATGTCTTGTCTACATTAGGAAAATTAGTCATATTCTTTTTAATTAAAATTTTTCATTGCTCTACTAAGCTCTTCTGTTTTGCAGTATCCTCACAGGCACCTATCTGTTGTGTCTACCTCTCATACCCTGATCCCTGATGACATCTAGAGAGTTAGCATACTGAGACAGGGACTGCTCCCTTCATCAGTGTACAGTCTCTAGCACAACAGGATCCTGGTCATGTATAGGGAGGGGCTCACCATACTAGAAATAGAGAACTAAATACATTACATTTTTATTATATCATCTGCTCAAGATGAGAATGGCCTGAAACACAGCTCAAAGCACTATCCGTGTTATGGATTAACGCCCCTACAGCTGCACTGTTGCTCAAAGTACCCTGTGTTAGGTAAGACTATTAAAAACACCAGTTCCTTATTTATATCAACAATCATTGTTATTATTAGAGGACCTTCACTAATGCTGGGACAACAGAGGGAGAGGTTAATCATAAGAGCAATAGATACAGCCCTGGAAACATGAGGCTGAAATTGGTTACTTATTCCCAGTTGTTTATCCCAGTTCCTGGTTCCTTGCCAATCTTTACAGAATTAAAGGTTGTTAGCAATGAATTGGATGAACTGAAGAGTTAGAATTTAAGAAAAAATACATATTTACTAATAAAAATGTTAAATAATACCATGTATTAAGTACATAGCCTTGAATAAAGAGCTGAGATTAGGCTGGGATTATGGAGCAGAATTGTTTTTGTGTCACCCGAAAAGACACACCACCACCACTGGAGGGACACTTCTGAATAAATCTGGGCAGGGTGCTGTCTGACCTGAAGCTTGGTTTTGCTTGTCAGCCTGCCCACTGATGCCGCACCCCCCTGCCGTGGGCCTGTGTGCTATGTATATAGCACTGAACAAGGATCTGGGTTTGGTCTGGGATTACAGGTAGAAATCCTTTTCGGGTAACCCCAGATTACATGTCTCTGTCATCAGGGTCTCCTGAAGAAGCCTGGGCAGGCTTCTACCCGACCCAAAGCTTGGTTTTTGTGTGCTAACCTGACAATTGACAGCTCTTCAGGCCTTTGCAATAAATAGCTTCATATAAAGAGCTGGGTTTGGGCTGGGATTATGGGACAAAATACTTTTTGGGTCACCCCAGATATGTTTCTGCCACTGGGGGACTCTGCTGAAGAAGGCTGGGCAGGCTCTTGCTTTATCTGAAGCTTGGTTTTCATGGGCCAGCTTGCCAGTTCATGGTCTGACAGGCCTATGTGCTAAATGCATGGCCATGAATAAGGAGCTGATCTTGGGCTGGGATTATCAGGTAAAATCCTTTGAGTCACCCCAAAACACAAATCGCCACCACCTGGAGAATCTCCTGAAGAAATCTGGGAGGCCACTGCTTGACCTGAAGCTCAGTTTTTGTGTGCTAGCCTCTCAACTGATGGCCCCCCAGATCTATGTACTATTTACATAGCACCAAATAAAGAGGTGGTTTGGGGCTGGGGTTACAGGTGAAAATGCTTTTCGGGTCACCCCAAAACATGTCCTTGCTACCAGGGAGCTCTCCTGAAGAAGTGTGGGCAGGGCACTGCCTGAACCAATACTCAGTTTTTGCATGCCAGCCTGCCAACTGACAGCCCCCCAGACCTGTGTGCTATGTACATTCCTGCAAAGAAAGAACTAACTATGGGCTGAGATTCTGGGACAATATCCTTTTCAGATTCCCCCAAGATACACCTCTTCACTATTTGGAGAATCTCCAGAAGAAGACAGGTCCCTGCTTGACCCGATGCTTGGTTTTGAGCACCAGCCTGCCACTGGACACCCACCCCTCAATGCCTGCATGCTAAGTATATTACACCGAATAAGGAATTTATTTTGGGCTCGGATTATGAGGCAAAACCCACTTTGGATCACTCCAAACCACACACCACCCTGACCAGGGGACTCTCCTGAATAAGTCTGGGCAGGATGGTGCCAAGGTTTTTGCATGCCAGCTAACTGCGAGCCCTGCACACTTGTGTGCTATGTAATCAGTACCAAATAAGGGTCTGAGGTTGGGCTGGGATCTCAAGTCAAAATCTTTTTCAGATCACCCCTGTACTCTCCACCATGGGGGGGGCTCTCCCAAAGAAGCCTTTTCAGGCCCCATTTGATCCTCTGCTTTTTCAACCAGAGATTTCTATACACAATGTTAAGTAAAATGATAGTGTAAGAGTTATGTTGAAGCCATGATATTAAATAAACTGAAATAAAACCATATGCATATCTAACTCTATATCAATTTACCAAGTCATGCCTTCTCAAATGCCAAATGCTGGCTTTCCAGAGATGGTAGTACCCTATTCCCTTGGTGTGGTTTGGGGTGACCCAAAAAGGATTTTGCCCTATAATCCCAGTCTTTTTTCAGGGCTATGTACTTGATACATTATATTATTTACATTGTAATTAGTAAAAATACATTTTTGATGAAATCTTACCTTTTAAGCTTGTGTAATTCATTACTAACAACCTTTCATTGTGTAAAGATTGACTTTGAAAAAGGAACCAGGAACTGGGATTAAGGTATCAACTGCAACCTCATTCCAGATGAGGTTCATCCCGGAAACTTGCAGCACCTTCTGCCAGAAGGCTCACATGAGTTGTTTGTGTTACCAATGCCCTAACATGCCATTGTCCTCTTAACTGAGCCTTGCAGATAAATGTCTCCATTCAAGCAGTGGCAGCAATAGAGACATGATCTATCCCTTCTATTTGCTTTGTGAGCTGCTCCCATAGCACGCAACCCATAAATGATTGGGAATCCGGTTGTAGACCAGGCAGTTTCATGGTTAGGTCTGATCTGCGCAGTGACTGGTATCTGGATTGTAATCTGCTCCCCCCACTTGGTCATAGGGGCCGTGCAGATGGGACCTTTTCTTTTTTTCGTTTGCCTTTGGCTAGTGGATTTTCTTTTCCAGGCAGCTCCTTCTTGAGCCTCACAGAGTGAGTTGGTGTAATGGGAGGGCACAGCCTGTCTCTTATTATTGCTCCTTTGCTATCTCGTTCCTTCTCTGTGTGGCCCAAGCTGTCAGCCTCCATCACCCTCTGGTTCTATTTGCAAATAAGCACTTATTGTGTTTTCTCCCATGTTGCTCTTCATGCCTGAGAGAAATAAACATCCACAGAAACATGACACGGTTCTTCTGCCAATCCCTCCTCCAAACTCTCCCTTGCCTTGATGCCTGCAAAGAACATGGCAGCGGTTTGGCTGCTGGCGTGCGAGTCTCTGGCTTATCAGGCTGACCAGCACTGTCCCATTTTCATTTGTACTCCCTCCCCCTCCTCGTTTCTAGCCATGTGTTGCCTCAGGTCTCATCATCAGAGCAGTGGTTTGCAATCATTGTAGGCCTGAGGGCCCCGTCCAGAACTTGCGTGAACTGAGCAGCACCCGCTTCAAAACCGGATTTCCTTAGTGCGGTGCTTGCCTGCCTGATGATGAGGTAAGGTGGGTATAGCGCGCATCTGCTTGATGATGTAAGGGGGTACAGCGCATACCTCACTGGTGAGGTAACAGGGGTGTACTGCGTACCTGATGAGGAAAGAGGGGTGTAGCATGTACCTCATGAGGACAGGGAGGTATAGTGTGTACCTGATGAGGAAAGGGAGGTATAGTGTGTACCTAATGAGGAAAGGGGGGGTATAGTATGTACATGATGAGGAAAGGGGGGGTATAGTATGTACCTGATGCAGTAAGGGGGGGTCTGATGTGTACCCGATGGGGAAATGGGGTGCAGTGCGTACCTGCTTGATGGGGGCTGGGGAAGGAGCTGCGGAGAGGAAGGGCCCGCCCTGCACTT